TCTGTCCTCGCAAGCTTCAGGCTGGGATGTGTAAAGTGTTGTGGGTTAGACACAGAAGATATGTATCCTGTATACTGTAGTGGTAAGGCTTCAGCCGGAGTACTCTGTTCAGTTTGTGCTGCCCCGCTCGATGAGTCTTTGTGTTCCTTGGAATAACAAGAACGATCAGAGGCTTGCAAGGAAAGAGGGAGGGGACTGATTTTGTGACATCTGGTGAGGACCAAGTGGAGAGATGTGATAACAGTTTTGAAATATGCTAGAAGAAGGGAATAGCTCTCTTCTACATCTGCTAGGGATAGGATGAGAAGTAACAGGCTGAAATTGCAAAAAGGTTGAGATGTTGGGGGAAAGGATGTAAGGAGAGTTATATTTCGGTATATATTGTCTAGAAAGCTGTGGAATCTGTCAGGATGCTTTACACACAGTTTAGTTTGTCTAGGGGCAGAATTTAGCTGTCCTCTCTGGACCTCTTCCAGCCTGTATTCTTTAAATACTGGGGGTTCTACCCGCCTCCCCACCGCATAGACTTGCAATGCAAATTTCAATCTGAATTCACATTCTCTTGGGAAAATGAGGTGATTCAGATACAAACTGTTGGTTTCAAGTTCTCTTGCTTTGTCTAGTCACAAATAGTAGCGCAAGGATTAGACTATCCACCTCCGAAATGAGAGGCTGACGCATTATAAGGTGTGCTGAAATTTTCATTTTCCACACCCCAAGGGAATCCTAACCCCTGGAATCTTTTGCAGAAATCAGTTTCTTCTTTATGAACAGTTCAGCTTTGTAGAAATAGTTAAATATTTAGTGGTGCAGAAAGTGATGCCTCTTTTTTTCCCCTTGACTAAAACAATTCATAGCCCCAGTGTTCATTGATGTTGCGGGCAGCGGGTGTCAAGGCAATTTTGACCGCATCTGTTAGCAGTGACTTGCAATCCTGTACTGGGTGAAGCACCCAGACTTTGCGGCCTTCCTTCTCTTTTTGGAGCTAAGTAGTATTTTCCAAAGAAGAAAGTAAGTCATTGTCACATTCCCAGCCGGTTCCATTGGTAGTTTCTGGAACCCGGAGAAGTTGCACTGGAGAACATCAGGAGTTTTTTTTTTCCACATAGTAAGTTATATCGTGTGTCTGACTTATCACGTTTGTGCTCTGGAGGTGAGGTTTCCGATCACCTTGTAAAGCAGTAGAGGAGTTGAGGGCAAAACTTAACACGTTTGAAAACGGAACTTGACTGCTTTATGATTATATGATGTGATGCCTACAGTAACAGTTTTGCCAGCACGTGCCTGTCTGGGTCTCTACTGCAGGCAGGTTTTTCTCTGTTGTGCAGAATAAAATAACATCATTGTTATTTCAGTTTAACATCAAGGGATGACTGGAATAATGCTTGCAATGGCTAATATCAGCATGAAAGAACGAAGCTAACTTTTTCCTGCTACTTACTGTTTATTTTTCTTGCATGCTGTTTGTAAGAATTTCCTGTGTTCACTTTGTAGTGAGCTAAGTCAGTATTCTGTATATTTAGGTTTCGCAGGCTTCCTTGTTATGCTGTGGAGCTCGTCACAGTCAACATCTGGCAGCTGGCTGGGAAAGCTGTATTTTTATTTTTTTGCAGGGGATGAGCGCTGTTCTGAAATTTCTGGCTAGATATTCTGAAATATGCATCATTTGGCACAGACGTTACTGATTCAGCTGTACCATATTCAGAAAAGTGATTGAGAAGCAACCCAGGTAACAGTGTGACAGTCTCTTTCGCAAGCAGATTCATAATAAGAGCACGGATGCACACAGTGGGGTTATACTTTCTCCCTTCTTTGGATCTTGAGGTGAAAAAAAATGGTATAACGTGAAGAAAGAAAACAAATTTCCATTAAGACATGAACCACGTCCTTTTGAAAAAAGGGCAGGAAGTTCCCTCCAAAGATTGTCATCAAGAACATTCTTGTTGTGTTAAGCATCTGCACGCAGATGCTTCTTTCGAAGACTAATTTCATCTTAGTGCACGTAAAGCACGAAGCACTTGCCCATTTAAAGGGCAAGTATTCTGAAACTGTGCTAGTTGATCAGCAAGTGAACGAAACAAGAACAGTCTTTCCACCTATCTTACCAACTAGTGGAAAAACCTCATCACAAAGGAGACTGCCAGAAGGTGGAGGAGGGTGGCTGGGTATTCTGAAGTTTGCAGGGGGGAATCTCATTCTTCTGTGCCTCCGTTTGCAGAAAACTTGCATACCTCAGGAGACCTGTTGCGGAATACACTGTAAAGTGTTGTTGCAATGATTTGTAGGCAAGTTACATACTTCGCATGTAGTATTGCCAAAAATTCAGCTGAGAATCACAAATGTGTGAAACTCTGTTTGCACGTCCCTGTGTTGTACCTACAACATAGAGAGGTAAAGGTAGGTAGAGAGGTAGATATAGATGTGTAATACAGCTGTATATCGTATCCTGTCTTCCACAGTGAATTCCTAGTCCTTGAGGAGGATAGCTAGTTTTTTCCAGCTGTATGAATAATTGGAACAATATGTGAGTTAACTCATTTATTACTCGTTTAAACCCTCTTCCCTTATCCTGACTTGCACATTGTTGCGCAACATCTTGTAACAGGTTTTAATATCTGTACTGCTATTATGGCAACAATGATTCCATATATTTTTGACCTCTTAATATGCAGAGCTCTTATTTCTCTGAGGCTGGTGTTTCAGTAGTATTGTCAACATTCCTCTAACGTACATGCTTTTTTTTTCCATCAGCACAGCAACTTTTTATAGCTGTCGTAAAAGTGTGCTGTGAACCCAGATGCTCTCCTGCTTACAGGAAAAAAAAATCCTGTTTTTTGCATCTGTATTATCTATTTAAAAGGTATAATTTACTATGTCCTACCTGTGACTTGCAAGAAGTATCGTGCTGGCAATCCAAGTCATAGAGAAGCCGCAAATGAACATAATACATATGTATTGAGGGGAGAGCTAAAATTGTATGTGCACGATACAGCAAAAGCCAATGTCTTATTTTTTGCCACCAGGGTACTTTGATGCAAGGTGGAAAAATCTCGTTTACTATATCACCCTAAAGCTCTGCTATAAGTTAGAGATTATTACAGCACGTATATACAAAGAGGATAGGAGTACTGATGAGTTACTTACCTTTTTTCATTCATCTATTCCTTTAGATTAGGAAATATCATGACTAGAAAGAAACAAATGATTCTAAAACCAGAAGGACGTGGAAAATGAAGATATCCTCTGCTCCAGGTTTTGTGATTCAGTGTATTGTCAGATTCTCTCTGAGTTTTGGTTTCATTGAGGTGAGATCATCAGTCTTGTGGGCTGTTTCCCTTAGGAAGAGGGAGAGTTGTGGATGACACTAATGAACTTCTTTCTCAGTAGAGGTAGAAAAACCTCTGTTTCCAAAGGTCATGTCTAACGCATTCTGAAGTTTGGCCGTTTTTCGTTCTGCCGCAGAAGTTACCGTTTACTGTCGGTATTGGTCTGACTGAGGTATACTGAAACCAGAGCTAAGCTTTAAGATGCGGTAAATTGCGTCATCTCACCCTGAGTAATAATATTTACCCTAATTTTCTTTATTTTCCCCTCTAAGGCCACTTGTCTTGGATCCTGCAAATTCAAGTTTTACTGTGTGCAAGAGCAGCAGTGCCTGGGATGAAGTTGCTCAGGTGGCAAAGCAGAGCTTCCTTAAGCCTCTCTTTCATGCTGTGAAGACAAAAGAGGCCTGGGCTTTCACAAACATCTGGTAAAATACCATCTCTGATTATACGTTCTGGCAGAACCTTCGCTACTGATTTTGTCGAGGTAAATGATACAAGACTTCTGATAGGAGTGAGCATCTCGGGTCAAGGGGTTCTTGTTTTCTCTGTCTACCAATTTATGTAGCAAACAACTGTTGTCATCGCTTCTGAATTAACTGGACGCAATTCACTGTGTTCATGGAGTCAAATCTCCCGCTACAACTTTATCCCTCTGTGATGGAAAAAGCTGAAAGACGTACTTACTGTTCTGTCCTCAGGTAGCTCAAGAGTTCAGGCAGAAGAGCAGAGAGGGCAACATTTCATAGGCCTCTTTTGACACACTAGAGTAGCCTTTACTTCCCAGCTCCCTTGAGCAGGAATTGAATTCTATAAAATGTTGAAGCATCGTTTACTTAGGCGTCCCACTGAAAGAACAATGTGGTTGCACAGTAAGATGACTATATATCTACCTAACGTTTGGCAAACCACTGTGTTGTGGTATGTAAATATTGGGAGGGTGTCCAATAGACTGTCGCTCAATACATCCCTTCCAGAACTTAGACAGGTCTGTATCTCCTGAGTGTAAGATCAAAGTAAAGCTTGAAATGTACTGAGGAAATAAATGATGTAAGCAGACGCTGTCTGTGCTCCAAATAGGCAATAGCGGGTTTCAACTTGTAACAATAGACGGTTTGTGTACTGGCACAGTGTAGGCTGTTAGAGATAGAATACGAAATTCCCATCAGAAAGCGCTTAGGCGTTTTGCTGGAATGGCAGCGCCTGCAAAGTTACCTCTAACAATAGGAGGAGCAGCTTGGAGCGCGCGCAGCCCAGAAAGACTTATGTGCTCCTGGGTGTCTGAACGTAGTCAGTGCTGACCAGACCCAGGCCATAAGGTAGAAATGTGATGGAGAGGGACAGGAGTGGGGAGAGAAGAGAATGGAAAGGCGAAGGAGGACAGTCCTCGTTGGCACGAAATGAAGCGCTGAGTCCGGCCAAAGGTAGTTTCTCCTTAGCCTAAAGAATTCATGGAGGTCTAGGATTTGGCCTCTATTTAGTTTGTCTATGCTTTCCAGGTTTGATAGCTGTGTAAATCCTTGCAGTGGAAGTAGCTAATAGGAAAAGTAAAGTGTGAACACTGAAATAAGTATCAGTTGGTCCATTGTGGTAAGACTTGTTTATTTCTGCATCTCATCAACAAACCAAAAAATCAAAGCAATCCAAGTTATTCTAGTTCTCTATCGTCTGCTATTTTAAATATTTTAGATACCACATTGACGGGAGTCAACCCCCTACCTAAATTACTCAGCATAAATGCACAGGGAAGTATATACAACTTCTTGGTGGTGTATAAAAATTATTTTCATTTTGTTGTTATATATTTGAAATGTCCTGAACAAAGGGCATTTTACAGTGACCCAAGCAAAGTTTTAAAAGTTAGGAAAAAAAAAAATCAGAATTTTGTATTTTCTGGTATGCAGGTCAAGATCCCACCTTTTTTACACCCATTTTTCATCCAAAATAACAATGTTTAAGAGGAATTTCTGTTCTTGGGACGCCTTCTATATTTGATTCCTGCCAATAAACTGAGCGCCTTCCTCAGTGGGATGAAATAAGTAAAGAATCCCAAACTCTTCAAGTCCATGCCACTATCAGGTTACTGAAAAGGCTGCTTTCTTTTCTTTCCTTCTGTGGAAGCTCCATGTTCAATAGGCCAGCACCACCACCAACGAAAACAGTAGTGGTTGTTTGTCTGCCAAGTGAAGTGGCTCCTTCAAAAATAAACCTCCAAAAATTTCCAAAACTGTGTGCTCCCTCTGCCTTTTTTTTTTTTTTTTCCCCCCCCCCAGCTGCGGTTACTGTAGGTGGGCTACAGTACTCTAAGGGTGACTTGGCTCTCCCTCTCTGCGAAGCCTGAACCCTGGCCAAGCATCACACATCCTTCATCAGAGAGCTCAGCTATCTCTCTCTGGAGTGAGGCTGCGTCCCACAGCAGTGGGCTGCAATTACCAGTGGTGTGGATGATTTTACTGCAGGATCATTCCTTCTGACCGGTTCCCATGTCTCTTTATTTCAGAATAGTGACATAGCTGGGCCCATACTTGTGCTAGAGACTAAAATGAACTCTCTTCACCTCTTCCTCCTCTGTCTGAAGTCTCTCTCTTTTATGCTGAAATTCATGACGTTTGAAGGTATATTTTAATGATGTTAGGAATTACTGCTGAGGTCACTGAGATGATTTAAACTACAGCTCTGCCAGGTCTCCGTTCTTCTTGCAGAAGCTACTACAGAGCAGAAGAATCAGGAGGAAATGTGTCCACGTTCATTGTCTGGCTTCTTACTTAGCACATGTTTGCCTTCATCAGCAGCTAAAATAGCAGGCTGACAAGCGTATGTGTGCGCCTCATACAGGCACATGCTGCTGACTCTGCTCCTGGGGTGGTAACTTCTGGCAGAAGAATTGGACTGACGGGGTGGGGGAAGGGAAGATCTTAAAGCTCAGTAGCTATTTGCTTCAGTGCATGTGAATCACTGTTCTCTGAAAGGGAAGAAAAAGAGAAACTCTCCTGGTGAGAGATCTTGCTTGACAGCAGAATCAGAGCGTGGCAGTTTTCCAAAGTCATAAAAGAAGCTATTACCACATGGCATCTGTTATTCGTACTAGGCAGAACACAGTCCATCTAATAATTTTCCTAATTTATGCCCTTAAAACTTCACAATGTCTTGTTTGACTTCAGCAGAGATTGAAACAGGTGAAACCTGGAACACTAATTGCGTGGTGCAGCTTTTTTGCTTAGAAGACTATTCCTGCCCTTGAATAAACAGACTAAATGAATTTCAGCCATAGCACCTGCTAGCGCTGCCAGGAGGAAGCATAGGTGCTGTGAAGGAGTTTGGGAGTAAAAAGATACCAGTGCCTAATGTTTTATCTTTTACTGCTAATAGTCTGTAGGTTTTTGATTATAGCTTTTACATTTTTGTCAAGGAAAATGTGCACAGTCTTTGTGCAGAACAACACTTCAATCTCCAGATGACCATGAAAGTTTTCTGCAGTTTGTTTGCCTTTAAGATTTATGTATAGCATAGTATCAGTACTTCATTGACCCGAAGAGTTTCTCTCCATTAAAATGAAAAGTTGAAAAAAAAAAATAAAAAAGATGTCAGTGCTTCTAGATACCGAAATTAAAACAGCCAGTGAAAAGAATGTTACCAAGTTATGCATGTGGTCTTTTCAACAGAGAAAAATATGCATGTTATAGTTCAATGTCAAACACCTTCTTCAAGGTTTGTGGTAGCCACGCAGGGCCAAGCTCATTTGATCATCCTGTGAGGAAGAGGTAACTTGATCACTGTAGATCTGACTCAGTGCTAAGCTCAATATTTCTTTCTTTTCTTTGTAAAACCTCAATTCCTGCCCAGCTTTCCTGGCTTCCTCCAGTTCTCTAAGCGCCACTTGCAGCTCTTGAGAAATAATTCCTGGAGATTCTTGCTCCTTCATAATCCAGTCGAGGGCCATGTGACTTCTCATCCTTCCATCTAAGGAATACTGGGAGTAGTAGGAAATTACTTCCTATTATTCGGGAAAGTGACAACAGACATAGAAGTTAGTAACGTACGCTGTTTTGCCTTTGCTTTGTATTTTACTAAACAGCTGCTGGCAGAACCGTTCCGCTCTGAGCAAAAATTACTGAACAACCCTGCCATAACATTCTGTATGTCTTTCAAACACTGCCCACTGAAAGGGGATTAAATGCCCGTCCGATACTGAATTGCTTTATAAGAGGTTTACAAGGTTAAGCTATAATTAAATACATCTTCTGCCTATGAAGATTTCTCTTTAAGAGAAGCAATAATTTAAATGCTGAAAGTGATTTTCTTCCCTCTGAACAACTGAGAATGCATAAATTATCTGTGGAATGTAATACAGCACATAGCCTAATTTAAGAAGTTAAAATATCTTGAAATTGTTCAACCTAGTACATTTCCAAATGTTTTCACAAAACCGGAAGGCAAAAATGCTGTGACTACAGTTTTGCTCAAGTGAATTTTCTGCTTGTGTCTTGGTAGATAGAATTGAGGAATAGTCTGGGCCTCCTGCGATGATAGCAAGAGATAAATGCAGAAAACATAAATCTGTTTCAAAACTTAGCTTTATCCAAAGTCCAGTATCAATTAAAAGAAGACCAAATTCATTCAGAACTTCAAAAAAATTCTTGGAGTATTTTAACCCCAGGCAGTTAACCACTCACACGCACCGCCAAGTTTTTGATGTGGTGTCTTACCTGCCGGGAACACTTTGTTTCACGTAGGGCTTTAAGGCTCCCATTCCAGTGCAAAAGCTGAAAGATGATCATCAGCTCCTGAAAAATCAGAGCATGCTGGTTACCGATCGAAATCTTCAAAAACCACACCTTTGCTCTTAAAGGAAAAAAATACAGGGCAGATTTGGTGTTTAAAGGTGATGACATAAAGAAACAAAATTGATCCTAATCACATTAAGAGGTATAATGAAAGGCATATGGCCAGCCGGCTGGAAGCTAGTATTTCCCCTTTCAAAGCAAATAGAAAATGCGTGACTACTGAATAAATAGTCATATTCTCAATGATAGAAGTTTAAGATTGATTTGTAAAGAAGCCTTTATTGGCCATTAGATGACCATTGCAACCTTATCTGCAGTCACAGTGATCGGGTATTAGAGCTCTCCGAGAACGCGACGCTAACGTCCGAAACACTTGCAAACTCTTAGTGACCAGGCTGAATATTTTTTCTGTCTTTCTGCATATTGCCAGTATGGCAGAGTTTAAATTACTTGCTTTCTATCCTTCAGTGAGAAATCTGCGTAGCACAAAAACTGGGTTTGGTCCACTAGCGATGATAATCTGAAATTAATCTGAAATCCTTGCCCCAAATCATTACTGTATCGGTTTTGGTAATTTCAAAACTTTGAATTGTGTAGGGCAATAGTCACAAAAAGAAAGTCATCCGCTAAGTTAGGTAACTATCTTTACACACACAAATGGATCCACATATTGATGGCTGCTATCTCACAGACCATTCCTCTAATAGGATGTTAGTTTTGGGGCAGGTATCCAGTGGCCATAAGCAAAATTATTACCGATTATCAAGGTATTTGGTTTTATTTAAATGCAGCTGAAGCTGTCAGGTTATCTTCTCTAAGTAGTTAGGACTTCTGTGGAACACAAGATGATCAACTGGTTCAACTGAAACGTGGTTGATGCATTTTAATGGGTCAGTAGATACCTTTACGTGACGCTGTGCATTTTGCACTGAACTAGATCCTTGTCTGGATGTTTATTACATTTGGAATACCTCCAAGTGCAGCTGAGATGGAAATTTGTTCTCATCCTGCAACATTTTGGACTTCTAGAGTTTTCCTGTTCTAAAATGGAAATGTTTCTAAAATCATCCTGTTTGCATGATGCCGAGGTCCTGTGGAGGTTTTGGATGGATGCTAATGGCAAGTGGGGAGAGCTGGAGAGGAGAGGCATAGAGCCTCTGAAGCTGTATACACCTGTGCTAAACCGGACTGCTACCTACTCAGGCCCTGTTAAATCCACACCTGTCCAGCTATTAAGCTATAGAGTCGGTGTCTGACTGTCAGAGGGCCCGTAACTTTTACTCTTTGAATTGTAGAGAGTGAAAGAGAGAAAGATAAAGACTAATCCAGTGGGCCACAGGGATTTTTGTAGTCGGCGATGCAGTTCAAACCCTTGCTCCAAAGTGGGCAGAATAAAGACTGAATCTTAGCCTCTCTCATCTCAGGTCCGTTTGCTGTTCTTTTTTGACCCAAAACGTTGGCCTGCAGCTGTTTTCTTGCATCTAGCACGTTGCTGTTGAGCGTATTGGGAATCTTTTGGCAAAGCAGAGGTCAGAGGGATTCCCTGAGGCATCTGAGAAAATGATCTCTATTACATTGCATAAAAAACATAGGCCTTTACTCATATTGTAAGAACTAGTTTGCTTGTCCAGGTGTTAAACTAGATTCCTCAGTTCCCGTTCTTTTCATGAACCTTTAGCTGGTAAGCTTTGTCATCAGCTTGGCTGCCTTACTCTTTTCAGCTTGTGAGGGAGACCGCATGTGCAATACAATGAATTCTTTCTCCTTTAGATGGCAAAATATAGGAGATGGATCAAGTGGCCTGCTAAGGAGAGTAAGAACTTGCACTGAGTAATTCTGTTTGCTGCCTGAAATGGTGAGATTCTGCAACGTGCTTACTAGCCCTAACAGATAGTACAGCCCTCTTCTGTGGTATGTATACAGCAGTACTCCACTCACAGTATGTATCCTAATAGATCAGTGGATGAAATGAGGATGAGGTGTCACCTTAAGAACTTCCTTTTATCACAGGTAAAGATTTTGTACCAGAAATGTTGTGACTGAAGTAGTTAGTAACCCAATATCTGACCTGTATCCACCACTTGTTGTATACCTCTTAGCTTTTCCCCTTCCTTCACCTCAAAAAAGCCCAAAACAACACACAAACCCAAAGCAAAAGCTCCCCAAACCATGGGGTGACTCATCTCTAACAAGAGAAGGAAGCCCAAAGGGTGTGCTACATGATTGGAGGCTTCAAGCTAAGGAGTGTGGTAGGTTTTGCTTGGGCTTCAAAAGCACTGTTGTCTCATGCTACATTCCTTTGCATTTGGTTCTTGATCATTCAATATTCGTGTTTAAAAAGAAAAAAAACAACAAACATTGTGTTTGTTTTTAAATTAAATGCCCTAACATTTGCATTTCAAAAGAACAGATGATAATATATAGCTTATCACAGGGAAATCTGCAATATCCTGTGTGTAAGTAGTTCCCACCCTCCCCCTTCAAAGTCTCTTTGGTTATGCAGTGGGAAATCACGATTTTCGTGATTCTTAGTTAGTATTTAGCCTGGCAATTGCTCCCTTTGCAATTTGTAATGTTTCCTTTTGCTCCTGCAACAGCACGTGGGCCGGACCCTGAAACAGATGAAAATCATCTTGGAAAATCAGTAATTCAGAGAAAGTAGCATAAACTCCCTCAGTCCCTGTTCTGATTTTCCCATGTGTGAAAACCTGTTACCTTCGTTCTCATTTACCATTGGCTTTTAACAGGTTTTCAGTGGATATCGATCTTTCCCCTCAGGAAGGCTTCTCACTCATTTGTAATGGTAGTACTTCAGGGATTCTGAGCTAACTACTAAGTCCTCTTGGTTTACTTGTTAAAGTGAAGAGGAAAGGTCTTCAAGTTTTAAGTGGGATATTTCAGTTAAGGGATGGATTTGCAAACGTCTTTTCTTTTACAGATGCCTCTGCCCCCAGGCCTGAGAGTCCTAGTCTGTTAAATGTTTCTGCATTTTGAGAGTGTTCTTTCTCAACGCCTGATTTCTAGGGTTTTGGTTTCCTTCCGTGGATGAAGTGCGTCTTGGGTTCAGAAAGAGGGATGAGGTCAGACAAGGACCGAAAGGACAAAACTTAGGCCGTGGCGGCAATCGTAAAAGTTTGTCATTGCCAATACAGTATCATTAATTACGGTACTGAATAAATACGACAGCTTTTTCACTGATGCCATCATCCCTGTCTCTTCTTTTAGTATGTTAGACATATGCCACTCTTATCAGGGACCGCTCTGAACTCGGCCAAAACGCCTAGGCTCTGGAAACATGCAGTTGAAAATGGGCATGTTCTAGGAGTACACGGATTACGTTCCCGAAATTGCTTCCCCTTTCCACTCATTTGATGGCCACGTGCTGCTTGCGCCAGTAAGGCGAAGCAGAATGCTTCCAATAACATAGCACCTACTTCCAGTTAACTTCTGTTACTCATTAACAAAAACCGAAACCCTGTGCTATACTGCAGGCTATTTGAGATTTATGTGACATCACTCCAATTCACACTTCATCAAATGGAAGAAAAGCAAACTGACTCAGAAATATGTGGGTCTATTTTGGTACCTGTATGAAAAAGTTGTTTATGGATGAAGGTTTTAAATATGACTGGGTTATTTAGAAAGCTGTAAACAAACAGCTGCCTGGAGATTTCATTAGTGCCTCAATATATCAGTTGCCTGAAGGGATGACTCAAACTTCTTTCAATTGGAGTGAAATTTCGAAAAGAATCTGACAGAGTGCCAGAGGTGGTCACCGTCCTGCCAGGATGACCTGCGTTACATGAAGAATGTTTGTCCTTAAACGTATTCCCTTGGATACTGTGTGGTAATTTATACACCTGTGTTCAGTACCGTGTTTTAGACTTTCGTTGAAATACCAGAACAGGAAGTCATACTCTCTCTAGGATGCAACAGTCCAATGTAAGATTATTCTCCGCAGTATTTTTTCCAATAATGTAGATTTAGCTTGATATTTTTCATTAGGAATTGGAATCAAAGAGGCAAATCTGTTTTATCAAATGGTCATTTCAGTGCAGCGCTGTGGAGAGCGTGTTTGAGCGGGTCTAAATAGTCAGGAGGGAAAGCAGCTGTATCAGTTTTCTGACACTGTGGTTACACAATGTCACCGTTTTACTTATTATTATTGTGGAGTTGAGAAGTTAGCCTTTAATCACTCACTTATGATCGTAATCTAGTTTCCTCTCATTCTGCATCATCACAGCATTCTCACTGCTTTCCTCAAATACCACAATTTCTGTTAGACATTAATCATGAAAATAAGTTACTTCATTCACAAGTGAATAAAGCAGGAGCTTTATTCCTTATACCTGAAATTCCAGCATTGTCTTTCCAATGTTAGACTCCAGCATGTAGTGATAGGCTCCAATACTAGTGCTTGGGTCATCGGCGTCCTTTAAGTTACCCTTAAGGAAGAAAGAAGACCATGTAAATAGAGTGGGAGTGGTTGGCTTATGATATGTGGTATTTCTTACAGTTATGAACATGTTCTAGTACTGCGAACCTGAGTCATTTTTAATGCCCCTCTCTTGCTTTCTTTCCCCCCAGCAAAGAGTTTGGGAGTCAGTTTTTGGCAGTCACAGCTACCTTGACAGTTATTCATTTTACCAACCTTTTGTGTACCATCTGATTACTGTGAATTGGCTATGACAACCAACAAACTTTGATTTCTTTATCCTTAAATATTGGTCTAAAAAAAATCAATATCTTTATGAGGCCTTAAACTTCGTGGTGCCTTACGATGTTTGTGGGTCTTCCTAGAGTGATGGCAAATAAGAATGCTGAGTTGCTAATGAGTTGTTGAAATGAGTTGTTTCCAGTTGTACTGGAAAGGAGTTACAGAATAAACTAAAAATGCTTTCATCTCTTAATTTTTACATTTCAGTAAGCATTGAGTAGTCTTGCCTGAGTCTCTTAGCTGGCCCCCACGCAGCTCCTTCTGACATATTTGTAGCTGGTTTATCTGATGTACCCTTCATCTTATGGTCTAAGCGCTCTCTTTTCTATCTAGCCGTATTTTTCAACTTATTTTTTCAGTTTCATTAGATGAATCAGTGAATTGAGAGAGGCATTTCTAACTTGGTGTTTGCTGTGATTCAGGTATGCTCTGAAGTATCTCAGCACTGGCACACACTGGAAATAAGAGATCCTCTTTCACCTATCCCAGCAGAAGAGGAGGTGGAGTAGAAAGAAAGTGTAATCCCAGCAGTGGTGTATCAGAGATGACAGAGAAGGCAGGAGGAGGTCTCTGGTCAGCCCCAGAAAGTATTTGGTAGTTGTAGAATGATTAGAGGTATTTTCTACCCCTAAAAAGAATGCCATTATTTTAAAGAAGACACACGCTTATGGGAGAAAAAGGGCAATTTGGGATTTCCAGTTTCTCTACAAAAAAGAAAAATTACGGAGGCGATGTATCTGATCGTTCTGGAGTTCTGACAAAAGTTTCTGCCAGGTGTAAAGACAGGAAGAAAGTATAAGGTTGGTGGAAGGAGTGCAGAGGAGGAAAGAAAGGGAAAATTAATCTGTCCAGACTTGTTTATCCCTCCTCAGTCAAAAAAAAAAAAAAAAAAACCAACCCTCTTCATTTTTTTTACAGCTCTAACTTAAATTGACTGTAGTGGGCGTACAAAGACCGGACTGGAATTTTGAAGCTATACTTAGCTTTTCTTATGAGTCAGAGCAGCATCGCTCCCGAGCACTTCTGAATTCAGCTGAGAGAGATTGATGGCTGAGAAGTATAAAATATTTCCCTGTTAATGCCCTGCTGCCCTTTAGCTGATCTTCAGTATCCCAGTGCTCTAATGATAGAAGAGTCTCTCTCCTGCCTTCAGGCTTTACTAATCTCTGAAGTACTGTTGCTCCCTCCGAGCAGGGAGGTTGGACTAGATGATCTCCAGAGGTCCCTTCCAACCTAAACGATTCTGTGATTCTGTGATTATCACCATAGTGCCTAAATGCTGACTGTGCAGGTTTTGCGTCTCGTGAAGTGTATCTGTGGTAATGAGCACGTTTTATAAAGTGCACTTCTGACTGTCTTGATCAAGTGTGATGACCTGGTCCAGAATTTTGCATTTACTTTTTCAGTAGTATCCCAAAACTGCATGAACTAGCGAGTATAGCAGGGGGCTGGATTTCACTTAAACTCATTGCCTCCCCTCCCTTTCTTGGGAGGAACCTAGGAAAAGAACACAGGACAATTTTGAGCAAATTCCTCTGCATAACCCTCGGTGTTCAATGGCAACTTCACAAAGTTGAACAGATTTCTACCCAGTATGGTTCTGCTGAACTGCCAGTAAATTTATAGCTTTTGAATGCTGTAGAATTAACACACTGCTGCTGAAATATTTATGCTAGCTTTTAAATATCCCTGAGGAAATCCAACCAGAACTCTGCAATGTGTATACCCTTTTACCTCAAAAATTTCCATAAAAAATGATAAATTACTTGAATCAGAACTCCCTTTAAATTTCATACAAATAAATCATGCTCTATTTTTCTTAACTTTTATGGATTTTTTTTTTTTTCCTCCAAAATGTATTAAATTCACAGTGCTGGAGAAGAAAACCCTTCTTTCATCCGCAGAACAGATACAGACCAGACCTCCTTACGCTCCTCTGTTTCTACATCCTCCTTCTCAATATATCTTGTGAAGGAGTACAAAGCTTTTTACTTGAAAGGTGAACACTACAGATCATCTCACAAAATACAAGGAAGGAGTAATATTTCTAAACTACTTAAAATGCATTCCACACTTACCAGAACTCCTGCAAGTAGTTCTGCAAATGTAAGAGGAATTCAATTAAGCCTTCCTCAGTCCATGACATATGCCTTTGGGTGAGTTAGCACTTTCATTTATAAGATGACTTACACCGTAAGATGATACTTGTCACATAGTACGGTTCTGAACTGTAAATATTTTATCTGGTTATTAACTCTAGAGAAAACAAATCTAAGCACCTTTGAAGGACTAACACAGCTTTGTGGAACTGTCATAATTACTACAGTTCTACACATAAAATTGGGTTTGAGCAATCATTACTAGAACAATGGTGAAAAAACACTAAAACCTTGAATTTCATTTGTCATCTGGAGGAAAATCTACTAGCTCTGGACGAGCAGAATTTTACAAGGCTATGTTAATGGGAATTAGTGTAAATACAATCATAACTCTGAAGTTATGATTGAAGGTAATGACAGGCATGTAATTATGTTTCCCAAGTAGTTTTTGCTTACGTATGATAAGCTAAAAGGAAAAAAAATTAACTGCCAAAGAAATATAAGGCATTCAGATATACATCTTGGTCTGTAAAGGCAGTTCAGTATATTTTAAAACTAGAATTTAGGCAAACTGAAGACTTAGACCCAGTTTTAAGGGTTGGGAAGGAACTCCAATACCATTCACTCAGCTGAATTGGAAGACTGTTGGAGATTAACGTGTTACCTAGACATAGAACAATGATTTCCAGTTTATATAAGACTTATCTACCTAGGAAATACAGGCAGGCTGCAATCATATCAAGATTTAATATTTTACATTTGTATTCCCGTAAGCTGCATGCAGTTCACACTGTAGGAGTCACTGGCGTTTGGAGCGTGACCGTTTCTGAAGTGGCAAATTGTATCTAAGAAGATGGCACATGAGCTTAAAAAGTTTCTCAAAATTCCCCAAATTTTATGTAAGAAAATTAAAAATAAAAACATGTATGCTCCATTATCCTCCCCTCTCCCCCAAACCTCAGGCCCAGGGAACTGGAGACGTTTTGCTGATGCCTCAGCTGACATAGCTGAAAATTTGTCTCCGTGTTCTTCAGGGTCAAGTTTCTCCCATTTCCTTTACTCCCCTGATTCTGAGGGTACAACAGTGTACGTGCTAACTAGTTCTCACCAGTTTGGGAGATGCTTCAGATTTTTGATTTTCTCCTGTAAAGTGTTAGCTCAGACCTTTAGAGTAATTGAGCTGAACTGATCTTCAGTGAACATTTGCACCAACGAACAGCAAGTGAAGACTGCAGGAGTCAGTTTTGTGAGCTGTGCTCTGCTCACTGATGTTATTTAATGACAAAGTTTCTCTCTGATTCATTTCCAAAGTCAGTATCTTCTTATGGATTAAAGCCTTAAAGAGAAACGTATGGAGAAACTGAAGATCTGGAAGAGTGCACTGTACTGTTATTCTAGAGGCTTTCATGTTTTTCAGTAATACTCTGAAGTTAACTATGTCAGTTCTACAGAGATTCAGCTCTTTGGACAGGTGTGAATCTGGAGCATTTCAGTATTGTCTATAAATTACTCTGCGAGTATACAAGTAAACAGCTTAGCTAAAGTAAACGAAGATAACTTGCTCAAAGTCATTTAGATTACAGATTTCAGGGGGTTGAGAAGGTGTTTTGGAGAATTTGGAGCTCTGTTTTCGCCTACAAAGCGTACATACTAATCTTTGCGTCATTTCTTCCCCCCCCCCAAAACCCCCCCCCCCCCCCCCCGATGCTTTGAACTGAGATCAGCCTACGTAGTAAAGAGGCAAGCAAACTCTGAGTTGATTGGAATATCGGTGGAGATAGAGTTGCATACGTTCTAATAATCCTATTGAAGGAGTTGATTCATAATCTACCATCTTGAGCTGATACCCAACTCTTTAAGTGGTGTTTTGCACTTACGCTGGTTGAGGAAACGGCCTCCCGAACGCTTTCCATGATGAATTCCTTTGTGATCCTGCGACAGGGCAATTCATTGAAGAGAGAATTGATCAAAGCCACTTTTGCAGCATCTCGCCTTGCCTCTGCTCTGCTTAAACAGCTCTGAAAAAAACGCAGAAAAATTTCGACATGTCTCAGGTAAGGCCTGTGTTTCCCACTGCGTTTGTTAGATGTGCTTTTTGCTTCTCAATACAAGAAAGGCAAAGCATAATTTTTTTTAAAGATTATGTTAATTGCTTTCCTCACAAAATATGACTTCTCAGAGGGAAACATTTTTAGTGGGAAATGTCTTTACCTAAAACATTCACAGAAATTACTGGTTTGATTAAAAATTCATCTACTTTGTCATGCTGTGACTTTGGCCAACATTGTAGTTGAATTTTTAAATAATTATTGTAAACGTTAATTCACTGCTTAGCACATGTTCAGACAAAAGCCGAGCTTGGAGTGAATTCTGTTTCCAAAACATGTTTTGGTGGAAGTGTGTCTTAGATGTGTTTGTTTGTGTGTTTGTTTGTTTTTCTTTAGAAAACAGATCTGATTCGAGCTCTGCAAAACAGAGTGACATCTTTGAATTTCTTAGTGATATTGTCCCTTGTTTCTTTTAAACCGAATATACCACATAAGGGATTGTGAGGAGTATCTGAAGGGCACTGACTAGTGGAAAAGGACAACTTAACTTCAAACAAAAACGGGCACCCAGGGTAGTCCACCTCACCTTTGCTGCACAGCTGCTCAAGCTGCTTGTCAGCTGACCTACTGTGGTTTACAGGGTGCTACTTGCTAGTTTAATCTTATCTTTTAAAATTCCAGTTTGTGTTGGATTCCTTTGGGTCTTTAATAGGGCATGAAAATTTCTTAGCTCTTTAAACCAGCACACAATGCATTTCTAATTCTAATAACGTGGGGATTTGTTCATTTAAGAGGCACTGGACTTGCTTAAACTTGACCCCGGTGGGGTGACCAGGGCAAAAAGCCATGCTGCTAATCTTATGGAGTCCTAAGGCCAGAAAGCACCCGCACCTCTTCTCGCCTGCCCTGCTGCGCTACATATGTTGTCAGGATTCACCCACGTACCCCGCATCACGCCCAAGGATCTTAATTATGTCAAAGCATTTACAAAACTGAATTGTATACTGCAGGCAGTGAAAAGTAGAGACCAAAGCACCGACAACGCCTGAGGCCTCAGCAAGCAACTGCAAGGGGTAGATTATGTGAATTAAATCCATATGAACCTAGCAGATGAATTGCACCTGAGGCTTTCAGGCAGACTTTAAAATGCCTTGAAAGATTTATGCCAGTTTGACCACAGGGTGAAATTCTTTTCCAACCTCAAACCTGGCAAACAGTATGGACCTGCACGTGCCAGTAAGGCATACCTCCCAGGCAACAGAGCGCAGGTTGTCTGCGCTGCTGTAGGTTGCTGCTCTATCCCAACTGGTGGATCGGTCCCCGTGATGAGCATTCTCTGATGCTGCACTGAAAAGAAGTCACTCTCGTGTGCTTCTTTGTCTACTCTTCCAGCTGCTGCCTCCCCACCCCACCAGTTGCATGTATAGACAAATAATTTATTGAGAATGGGGTGAGAAAAATATTGTATTTTAATATAATAACAGCAAGGAACTCCTAGCCTTTCTGAACAACCAACTGACGTTTGATTTCAGTTGTTTTAATGCAGAGCTTGAAGAATACGAATATATTAGGTCGGTGCGTCACTGCATTCCTCTCATACGCTGTGAAGAGAGCGAAGGAGTTGGGGCACTCAGGACCAGCAAGAACTGCCATGGTTCTCAAAACCAAAGCTATCCTTGCAGAGACATGCGGAATAAATTTTTTGGAGGAAGTGGATGAAAGCAGTCTTTTAGAAAGTCCCAAACACAGTTTAAATGCCAAACAGCAGTGAATATCACTTAAACACTTTCACACGCTTATACACAAGTACACTTATGTGTAACTTTCTTCATAGCTAGGAAATTGTGCCTTACTGGAGGACTTTGTCTTACTTCAGCTAAGGTGTTTTACGGATAGATCCATTAACTACCCATTTGCATTTGTTATTCCTGTTATGATACACTGGACATTCCTTTGTATCACGTACAGCAATCTGCATAGTTTCTTTTATCAGTTGTCCTTTTTTTCCTCCTCCAGGCCTTAAGGAAACCAGTATCTGACACGCTCACTCTAACTCAACTCAATTGTTTCTATTCACTTTAATAAGAAGTGTGGGTAGACAGTGTTGTGCTACTGCTGAGAGACTTCCGATTACGATGTGTAACTGGTTTCTGTGAAGCAAAAGAGTTACTTGTTTTAAATGCAATGAGATATGTAGTTCTGTGAAACAAGTGACTGGAATGTTTTAAACGTTTCCCTTTTAATTGGTTAGAATATTTTTTTCTTTTTCTTTTTCTATTTAAATCTTTTTAAAGATACTCTCCCTTTTAAAAGGCCATTTTTAGCAAGTTCATTTGAAAAAATGTGCTTTCCAAAAGGAAAGTGAGTTTAGGTTTTTTTGTTTATTTCAGTTTTGCTCAATGAATGTAATGCTTCTCTCAGAAGCTGCTATTTCAATAAAGGTATAAAATATCTAACCCTTTTATATCCATTTGAAGCTGCCCAGGTCAAATGTTTTGTCATTGTGCATTTTTCTTTTATTAGGTTTAAACATTCTCTTGCAGGCAGCATGTAATTCTGTTTCTAAAATTCTGAGAACAAAACTCAGACTTATGTGCTTTCAATAATAAACGTTATAATAAAAACCAATCCAAATAATTTGGATTTAAACCATCTTTGTGAAGATGAAATCTAGTAAAAATGACAGATAAAAGAAAACTATTCATTTTTAAACAAGACCAGCAAAAGCAGCAGATCAAAGAGACTGTATATATTTATAAGCAAATGGCAACCCTTTCAAGATCAAGAGATTTACAAATCTGGAAGAAGAGAGGAATTCTTAACATTTACTAAATGTAACAGGAGATATAAATACTTAACCAAAAATGGAGATTATAATTTAAAATGATGACATGTGACTTTGCTCTGCAATTTTTTTTCCTTTAATTTAAATTTTTTCTCAGTCCTGAAAGGATGAAACTGATTAGAGCTCATTTGAGCTGGAGAGTAAAAGGGTAAAAATCTTAATGCCGTTTCTCAGAGGGCAAAGGTTTCCGCATAGCCTCTTTGGCTCAGGTATTACAAAGAAGTCTTAAATTATCCAAAGCTGAAGCTGTGATGGAGGCTACAGAAGAGTTCTCATAGTAACTCGTCGTACCACGTAGTTAGGCTAGCTGACAGGCCCCCAAGGGAAGTGGCGGGTCTGCTGTGATGACATGCTGTAACGCGTATCAAAAGGTAAATACCAGTGGTCTTATCCACTTTTAACATGCCGTTGTTTAGGAATTCAGATGTTTATAGACGAGAGAGGGAGAAAGAAGCTTTAACCTCAGTGTTCAGGGAAAGAAGTGGCATTGACTGGTCCAAGGTGAGGGAGGAGAAGGAGGTTCATTCCAGCCTTTCTGACATGTAGAAGACAACAAAGGTAGGCCTTAGCTTAAAGATACCGTCTGTCTTTCTTCTCCAAAAAGCATGAACGTTTCATTATAGCACGTTTCTACTTGGGTCGTTGCTAGGTATCTGAAATGACAAGTCTGCTTCTCATGCTTCCTAGTGTTGTGAGCATGAAGCTATGGGCCAGATCCTCAAGCGCAGTAAAATGCACTTGTGCTGAGCAAGGTATAATATGTAATGGAAGCAGGTGGCTTACAGTTCAGATTTGGACTCATTTGATCCTACAGCAGCTCTGTGTAGACTGATTGCCCCTGTGTTATCACAAAGACGTGGTAAAACCTGTTTGTTGCGTTAAGTCATAGCAAGAACTGAAATCACTTAGAAGGATCCAAGTGAAAGCAGAATCCTTTTAGGTGTCCCTGCACTTCTGTTAGGCCCCTGATAAGGAGATCAAATCGTCACCAGTATAATCTGTGGGAAGAGGAAGGTCAGAGGGGACCTGTAGAGTGAGTTTAAAAGCCTGTTTAAGTTATTCTAGGGCTAGGACACGCTGGCATTGGAGAATAAAGTGCGTGGAGCAAAGAATTGCGCCAAAACATTAGGTGAAACCGCAGAAGATTTCCACTGCTCATAGCTGTCCTTCCTACCTCTGCTTGAGCGGTCTTTCTATGACTCCCTAAGTTTTTAGGAGATAGCTGGCCAGCTGTGTCCTCTTAGATGAGAAACCAGCAAAAGGAGCCCCTTTATTCTTCATACAGTGACATGAAGAATGACTCCCCTGGCTCTGCTGCTCTTAAGTCTGCGATTCAGGGCAGTAACTGCTGCAGTTCCCCACTTTTACTTTTGCGTGCTAGGACCAGTAGTTGAGGCAACTGTAAGACCACACAAGTGTTTCCTGGCACAGTTTATAGCAGCAATGAGAGAAGGGTTCAGAGGCCTCTTTACCTGACCACTGCTGTGAGTCAGCCACTTTAAGAAAACTAACATTCCCCCCGTCCATTTCAGCACAGGGATTTCAGTTTGGATTCCACCCTTGGCCTGATTTGTGGTTTGGTTAAGTTATTTGGACAACAAATTATAACAAATATCAAACGTATATTGTTGCACAGTACGTGTGCTGAAAGCCTCGATGAATGTCGGCATGCTAAGGAGGAAAGAAGCGGCTGCTTTCTGTGGAAAGTAACGTTACTGAGTTTCGTGAGTCATTTCTGGATAGCGGGTGAGAAGTGAAAGGATTTTTGAGAGTCAGAAGTTAACATTTAATGAGTGTATTTCCATTTTTCCCAAATGTGCTAGTTCTGCTCAAAATTGCTGTTAAATACATGTTGCAGTTAGCTACATTTTGTTTAAAAATAGAGACTTAAGCCAACCTTCATGACACATTAAAGACCTTTCCCATCCCAAAATGATAATAGTAATTTCAAATCGACCCTCTTTTCCTTCTTCAGCCTTATAAAAAAAGCTTGCAAAACAGACTAAATTTGCAACATGGCTGAGCATGTCAATCAGTGCGTTTGGGGGTTGCTGGATCGCTGCAAACAGATGCTTTAGCGGCCTTAATTGACTTGAAGTGCCAGGGTAAAACATAAAAGAGAATA